GCTGCCTCTTCCTGCGCAGCCTCTCCAGGGCCCGCCTGAGCTTCACCTCCTTCTCCCGCAGGAGGCGCTGCCGCAGCTGCAGGAAGGACTCTCCTGCAGAATCGGAGGGCGGCGCGTCAGGCGCAGGCGCAAGAGCAGGCGCGAGGGTGGCGAAGGAGCCTAGTGCGCCTGCGCCTTCTCAGAGGGGCCCCGCCCACCCACTTCTGCAGAGCCCCGCGCTTCTCCAAAGCTTTTCCGCACAGGACCGGCCAGCTCCCTTTACCCGGGGTAACCAGCTGAGGCGCGCCTCGGAGGACAGCCTGGGATGACATGCAATAGGGTCAACGTGGCCCGCATGTCCCTGCCCTGCCCCCCAATCCTGGGTCAGTTACCTTAGCCCAGAGACGGCTACGACCTGGACTAGGCTGTGCGTGTCCCCAGCATTCGGGTGCTGGAGACCCAACTGCCAAACTCAGTAGCCACTTGTGTTCGGAGGTGGGGTCTCTGGGAGATGAGTGGGCCACGCGGACAATGGACGAATCCATTCGTGGATTAGCGGAGGAGTCTGATTAGTCCATTCACGGATTAGTGGATTAATCCACATAAGGACTGTGTGCTCACGCATTAGTCCGCACTGCGTTAGTGCGCTAATCTATTTGTGGTCGGGGGTTGGTCTATTTATGGGTCACTCCGTTCGTGGATTAGTGGGATCGTCGTTTGTGGATGAGTGCATTTATAGATCAGTGAACTAGTCAGTCGGTGGGTTAGTGGGTTAATCCATTTGTGGGGGAGTGGATGAGTCCCTTCATGGATTAGTGGGGTGAATGCATGTGTCCGTTTGTGAATCGGCGTGTTCGTGAGTTGCTTAGGGCCTCGCCATTGCGGAGGCTGGCTTTGAGTTCGCCATCCTCCTGCCGCACCCTCCCGAGCCCCTGGGATTACAGGTGTGTGCCACCGCGCCTGGCGACAGACTCTGTTCCTATCAATTGCCCGTTTGTGGTGCTCAGTGACGGAAACAGAAATGAAGATGACATTGGCTCGGATGTGAGACCAG